AGAACATCAGCCCCATGTGTTAAACCAAGACGCTCTCCGCCAGAAATGTTCTGAGAACATTCCGTGGAAGCCACAAAAGGTTCTTAGAACATTGTTTGGTAGGGCTATAGGCGAGCCAGGACGCTTCGCCACTGCTTGATAGCATGCTCGCCCCGGCGCCCGTCACCGCGCGGCCGGGTGCACGCTGGCGGGCCGCGCGGCGGCGCTCGGCCTGCTGCCTGGAGGAGGAGGAGAAAGAGGAGGAGGAGGAGGAGGAGGAGGAGGGGGAGGAGGAGGGGGAGGAGGAGGAGGAGGAGGAGGGGGGGGGGGGAGGGGGGGGAGGAGGGGGGGGGGAGGAGGAGGAGGAGGAGGAGGAGGGGGAGGAGGAGGAGGAGGGGGGGGAGGGGGGAGGAGGAGGAGGGGGAGGAGGAGGAGGAGGAGGAGGAGGAGGAGGAGGAGGAGGAGGAGGGGAGGAGTGAGGAGGAGGAGGAGGAGAAGGAGGAGGAGGAGGAGGAGGAGGAGCCGGTGCCAACACAGTGGCTCCCACGGGCCTGGCCAGACTCTCGAGGCGAGCCCGGCCGTGGCGACGACGCCTCCCAGGAGGCCCCAGCATGCGAACAACGAGGGAAGCGTACAGGGCAGTTTTTAATTTGTCGGATTTTCTAGAAACATAAGGCTTTAATACATCATTAATTTATGAGTAAATTTGAGCATGAACTCATCCTTGTTTTTAGTACCGAATCACTGCATATTTAATGCATGATCCGCACGCGGAACATGTATTAAAACCGGCGCTGTACCCGGGGATCCGACGGTGCGACAAGATTGCCACATCGCGGAAAAACGCGATGAAAGCCCCAAACCCCATCTTCCTGCGGCAGATGTCGAGCCCGATCGATCCGCGACGGCCGTGGTGCCCGAAACGAGACAACACAGCCGTTTGCGAAAAAATGCCACGCGAGGATCGCAGCGCGGGAAAGGTGGCAATATCGGTGCCTCTTTCCCATTTGGGCAGAGACCGACCGTCGCGGTATTGTGATAGGCCTACCACGCAATGTCCTGCGAGCGCTGTTCTTATAATAGCATAATCGATGTATTAAGCCAAGGCGGTCTTTGCTAGGAACGTTCTGAGCACACTTGGGGCAGGCCACAAACGATTAATACAGCACACTTCGGTAGGCCTGTGGGTGACGAACGAGCAACACGCAGCCATACCCATAGGGGCGCCGGAATGAGCTATGGGTGCGTGTTGTCGGATGAGGGTCCCCGCTCGAACGAGGGCCTCCTCAGGGGTCCGACAACCACCCACAGCCAGTCCTTCTCCCTCCGACCTCCCTATGGATACGGGTGTGTGTTGTTCGTTCGTCATGTAGGCAGGTCAGGACGCTTCAATGCTGCTGGACTCTGCGGCGAGCCCACGGGGATGCGAGAGAGGGGTGGGTCTTCTCAGAACGTTCGAAGGCCTCGGGGCTTCTGACACATTTCCTGAGCCTTCCGCGAAGACACAGAACACGTTGAAGGGGCCCTGGGACACACAAACAAATAGACACAAACAACCGGATTCCCCATAGTTTCCCATATCTTCTGGGTGTTCGTCCTCCCCCCACTTCCCATATCTTCCTATATTTCCTGGGAGTCGACGATTCCTTGTGCCTGTGTTTTTGTTGCCCTCCTGACAGGGGGCCAATTACTTTGATCACTTGAAGTGCTGCTTCCTTTGAAGTTTGTCTTGTGGAGTTGATGATTGGACATTTGTGTCTCTTACTCGCTGTGTGTTTGTTGCTTACGTCAGTGTTGTCTTGTGGAATTGACGATTAAGTGTGTGTGCGTGTGTGTGTCTCGGGAGGCCGGGGGGCTCCCGAGCAAGGCCCGCCGCCTCCCGAGAGGGGCCCGCCCCCTCGCCCCCCTTGCCCTCCCGCGTGCTCGAAGGGAGCCCTGCAGACCTGCAGGCCTCTCGCGACTGCTTTCCACTCCGACCCTGCGTTCGCGCTCGGAGGTCAGCGGTGCTGCTCTTCACGAAGGGGCCCTGGGACACAGAGACAGAGATACACACACAGACAACAGGATGCCCCATCTGTTCCCATATATATATATATATATATATATATATATGTTCTGGGTGCTTGTCTTCCCCCCCCCCACTTCCCACAGTTTCCCATAATATTGTCTGGGGACTCGACGATTCATTGTGCCTGCGTGTCTCCTCCCCTCCTGAATGGTGCTGTTCTTTGGCCCTCCTGGAAGGTCAGGCTCTTTTCCCATCGGGCGCGCCGCCGATGGACCCTTCTGTTCTGGACGCCCGACATGGGTACTGAAAGAATGGGTACAATGCCCCACAGCAAATGCTGTCCCAAACCAGCAGCGGCCGCTGTTGGGCCGGCGGCCTTCTGTTTCAAATGGACACAGGCCGCGGCGACACCGACATCGAGCCCTGTTCAAAATGAACAGGAACTGCTGTTGGGCATTGTATCGATTCTTTCCGTACCCATTTCGGGCGTCCAGATCTGCAGAGAGCAGAGAA